TGTGTGTGTGTTGTGTGTTTATCTGTGGCTCGGCTTGCGCTGCGCAAGCTGCTGGACCGCGGCAGCAAGAATATGCAATAGCACTCAGCCTCGGATATTCTACCAGATAATCACCAGTAAGGCGGTGGCGCAGTCGGCCCCTCGAGCATGTCCAAGGAGCGGCGGCTGGGGCCGCAGTCATAGCGGTAGACGGACACCCTTCTTTGTGGGATGCCAACCTGCACGAACGTTGTTCGCTCGGCGATTTCGCTCGCGGCCCGCGGCGCCGCCGACTGGCCCGAGACAGTCGCCCCCGAGGCCGCGGACGGCTCCGAGGACCTCGCGAGCGAAGACACGCACTGCATCGCACGGCCGCCGTCGGGGCCAGGGGGCGGAGGGGGGAGGGGCAGGGGCGGCGCTGGCCCTCGCGTCGCCGACGCGCCCGTCCTCGGCCCTCGGAGCCCTGACGCCTGGCCCAGGCTCCCCCGCGAGGGGCTCGACGCGGCTGGATCCGCCGGCCGAGGGGGCCCCAGGCGCAGCACAAGGACCAGTCGATGCGGCAGGCGGCAGCACCTGCGGGACGGGCGCAGCAGGCGGGCTGCGGCTGCGGGCGGCGGCTCGCGGAGCATCGCCGGGCCGTGCCTGGCGAAATTCTCGGGCCAGCGAGCGTGAAACACTGCCCGCTTGGACTGCGGCCTCCCCTGTAGCCGCCGTTCGACCTTCGCCATCACGCCCGCCAGCTATTTCGGAAGAGCCGCTCTCGCTGCTCGATGCGGCCGCGGCGCGCGCAGCGGCGGCTGACTGGGCAGGAGCAGCGGCGGCCGACGACGCAGCGGGTCTCTCAGCCCCTGAGGCGGCGCACCTCGGAACACACACCGAGTAGGACAAAATCCGTTTTGCCTCGGGAGTGCTGGCAGAGCAGAAGCACGCAGGACAGTGCATCACACCAGAGGACAAGTGTACAAGGCTACGCTGCGTGAGCGTGAGTTCCTGCTTTGGAGTCGTTTTCTTACGCTATCCGATGGCTATGTCCTCCCTCGCATTGGCCGCGGCGGCTCCAGCTTGGTCGATCCATCGGGCCACTCCGTCGAGCTTGGTGCTGGCGTTCTGCAGGCGTTGGCGGTCCGCCGCGGGCGGTCTTCACGGATGCGTGACCTTCTGGACCCACCTGTCGGCCTTGATGTTGCCGCGGCGCTGGTAGGCCGTAAGGTGCCCGCGGTGCACGCGCAGCAGGATCGCGTGCCCTTTGATCTTGAAGATCTGGAGGCCCCTCGAATTGATGCCGCCCACGTCGACTATCAGCCGCCACACCTTTCGCCACAGGTGTGCCCACGACGCCGAGGCCGCCGTGGTCGCGGCGCGCCCGCGAGCGAGCAGCCCGTCCACGACGTACGACGAGTCGCTGTAGATGGCCAGCGGCGGGATGGTGTGCCTCAGAGCGAGTGCGATGGCGAAAAACTCCACACCGCCGATGGATTGCCAACTCCCGGCCGGGGGGGTCACGAGACAACCTCGCACCAAACCTGCCCGGTGGCAAAAGGACGGACTGGGACCCTCCGCAGCGCGCGACGGACTGCCCTCCGCCGACCGAGGGAAGCGGGAGACTCGCTAGCTCACCAAAGGGCACGGCCCAGGAGGGAAGCTGGCCTGGCGCTCAGGGACCTGGAGGCCAGGACCCCGCTGCTGAATTGGCGCCCTCTCTGCGCGGCCCTCTCTCAGGACCCCCTGGCGGAAGCGACGGCGAGGGGCGCAGCAGAGGGCGATGCGGAATCGCGTCCCCAAGCTCGGTGGCGGCCCCCGCGCTGACCAGGCGCCCCGAGCGCAAAAGGTGCCAGCCCCGCGGCCCGCCCAGACCCCCCGTCGGCAGTCCCGAGAGGCCAAGTCCTCTCAGATCTGCGCCCCCGCGTAGCCGCAGAGGGGCAACGTGGCCCGAGGCGAGAAGCATCCGAATAACCCCCAAAGCGCGGGCACACCGACGAGGTTGGAGACGATCCCAGCTCCCCACCTGGCCCCCAGCCTGACCCCGATCGAGTCAGACGCAACTGGCTGGCCAAATACTGGATCGACTCTGCGGGCACCTCTGGGCCCGCAAGGGGACGAGCGGACGAAGTTTGCCGTGAAATCGCCCAGTACTGGCAACGCCACCACGCCCTCCACGCCAGCCCAACGCCTGGACACCCCAGCCCCATCATTCTCTCCACCGCTGCGCTTCCAACCAGCTCCCGCCCAGACACTGGCCCCGCGAGTGCCTCGCCGCAGGCCCCCTGCCGTACCCTTCAGCGACCGCTCGCCCTCCTTGACCTTTTCGCTGACACCACGCTCGCAAGGAGAGTGCTGGGCGATGCCCTCGCCGCACACCGCTCGACCTTTCGCTCTTTTGGCGATTCTCCCTTCTCACGCTCAACAGCGTTTACCTTCGCGCCACTCTCACCACTCTGGTTATGCTCCCCTCACGTTTTTTTTTTTTTTTTTTTTTTTTTTTTTTTTTTTTTTTTTTTTTTTTTTTTTTTTTTTTTTTTTTTTTTTTTTTTTTTTTTTTTTTTTTTTTTTTTTTTTTTGTTTTGTTTTTTTTTTCTTCTTCTTTCTTTCTTTCTTTTTTGGTTTTTCCTTATATATATATAGATAACCCCAACGAGTTTTCGTTTTCCTGCGGGGACTGGGGCGGCGACAGCCTGCAGAAAGATTCCCCGCCAGAGTTAGGCGGGGATACAAGGCCACCAGCAGGATCCTGCAAGTGAAAAAGCAGCACGGACCGCCAGCCCTCGACTGCACAAGAGGACGGGCAGCATCAGCCAGGATGCTGGGCTGCGACGGTGCTGGGGCTAGGAGCCTGAGCTCCAGTCCACTGCAACACCCCAAAAGACGAGAGACCGACGGGGCTAGGAGCCCCCGTACTCCCGAGAAAAGAGACGCCTCCTCGAGAGCGTCGCGCATACCTCTGAGGCGAGGAGCAAGTACGCGTGCCGAACGCGTGCACACAGGAGGCCACGCGACGCATGAGGAGGGCCCAGGCGTTGGGGCCAGGAGCGACGCTACCTGGCCACAGCAAGCGCCAAAGTCGAGCGACTGTCGGGATAGATCTACCCCCGTGCTCCGCTGAAGAAAGCCCTCAGGATGTGCGCACACCTTCCCCCTGAAGCGGGGTGCCTGACACACGTGCGAACACGAAACGCACAACACGGAAAAAGAAAGGCCCACACAAGGACGACGAGGCCTGCCCCAGGTGCTGGATGCGCCTGGACGACATGGCCTCGCCCCAGATGTAGAGCTGAAGCATAAACGAGAAAAAGAAAGGCCGAAGGCCACAAACACAATATCAAATAAGTCGACCACCCACACAAGGACGACGAGGTCTCCAGCCCCTGGTGCAGCGAGCGCCAGGACGGCTGTTGGCCTCGCCCCAGATGTGGGGTAGAGCACGGACGCCTGCCGAAGGGTCAGTCGCATCGGGCCGTGCTGGAAAGGAGAAAGAAGGCGAAAGCCTGAATAAAATAAACTAGTCAGAACTGTCAGACTGATCCTGGCGCCTCCTCGCCAAGAAAGTGGGACTGTCCCGTCGCAGCTCTTGATGGGTATCTCGCTTCTGCAAAGCAAAAAGAAGCTCCAAGGCCATCTCCTGCAGGTGGGCCTCCTCCTCAGAATCAGTGTCCTGCGGGGGCCCCGAGGGGGCAGGGAGGTGCCTGTAGGGGCCTCGGGGCAGGCGGGAGACGTCCGAGCTGGAGATCGGGCAGTCTACGCTTACGGAAGGTCTTTTGGGGTGACGCCCCTTGGAGACCTCCGACCACACCCTCCTTCCAAAGAGCGATGGGCGAGTCGGGCAATTAACCAGGAAGCCTCTGAATCTCCCGTGAGAAGAGTAGGATTTGCAAGAAATGCAAAGGATAAAAGTAGCCCCGTCAGAACATTCCAAACCTATGCAGGAGTGCCCCAAACTGCTGATCTGCTGTAGGGGCAGCTCCCTCGTGCCTGGGCAGTCCTCCAAAGGGGGCTTACGAGGCCACCCCGTTTGCGAGGTCCAGCGTTGGACGGCGTGTATCCTCCTCGCCATTTACGCCCAAATTGCTTGCTGCTGATGGCGTGCCCCGACTCTTCGGAGATTCCCCTGAGGGACCTTCCGCGTGCGCACCGGATCCAACCCTTCTCCACCTCGTCACTGCGGCGCGCGAAGCCGCGGCCGCCAAACGTGTGTGTGTGTGTGTGTGTGTGTGCATTTCAATTTGCAGACTTGAGACGACTTCATTTTCTGATCTAGTGAGCGTGGGGAAATCGATCGGGCCCAGCCACGCATTCAGCGTGTGCGTTGCTTAGATGTATATTTGTTGCTCGGTCTGGTTATCTCTCTCCTTTCCCCTCGTTCGTCGTCTGGTTCTGTTCCTCTCGCCTCGTCTCGTTTCCCGCTCCCATGCAACGCCAGCTGATGCTTTGCTGCTGCTGCCGCCTCACACCACGCATAGCTTTTTGTGTTCGAAACCTCCTGTGCAGGAGGTTCAGGGGCCCGCTCAAGGCCTCCGAGGCCGCAGATACGTATCGGTCTCCTGCACAGTTGTTTTGATAGCACCGTGGAGATTAAAGATTTCTCTCTAGTCATTCTTGTCGGTCTTTGGATTGTGAGGGCATCTCTTACATATACAAAGACGCTACGCGACTCGGATATCGAGACGCTTTGCGACTCAGAGCCTGGCTGGGTGTCTTGGGAGCGGGTCGACATCAACACAGGTGGGAACGAACTAATATCACATCACAAATGTGTGTGTGTGTGTGTGTGTGTGTTTGTGTGTGTGTGCTTGCGTGCGCGCGTGTGTGTGGAAGCTGGTGGCAGAGAACGAAACCATCTGGTCATGTGGATGCCATGCCGATCAAGATGTACTCAAGACTGGTCTTCGCACTTTTGCCAGGGTACACCTCCATTTATTCTTCGTGCTGTGTCCAGCCGTGGTGACGGGATGGCTGTCCGGGGTCAGGTGAACATGAACACGTAAGCGCCAGCATCGACATAAGATCAAAGAAACTGCCCTTGCGTCCTGCATGTAGGACATCGCCTGCATAGCGATCGCGCGCCGCAACTGCACGAACGGAAGGGTATACGGCAAGATTATGTCGTAGTCCTGGCGATATTCTGCCCGAGCAATGGGGGCAATTGCCTCCGTCGTCATCGCCGTTGCAACCTTCCCATTGCGGCTGCTCCTCTTGCTGACCCATCCTTCTTGAAACCCTTGCCGCTTGCCACGCAAGGGGGTGGTGCTCACTTCCCGAACAAAATGCGGACAGAGCCACGCCGTGAGGCATCTTAGATAGATGCGATCAGCCCTCCAAGTTGCTTGCGGCTGAACAGATGTTTTCTCAACTCCGTTCCCAACCTCCTGCCCCTCCCGCGGCCCCACTTCAGGCGGTCAAGCTGGGTCAAGGTCGCAATTCCCGTTCCTGGGACTGACTTCTCCAAAGGGCCAATGAGCGAGCAAAACACGACGACTTGATCAACTATTGCGTTTTCGAGGGCCGATGCACGGTATACCATGATGGCCTGATACATGCTGGCACCGAATAGGTTGGTCTCTACCGCGCTGCTGCTCGTATCCTCAAGAGGCTTCTAAGACGAATCCAAAATGCTCCAGGCCTACCCCTCCCAGACTGCGCCAGGACAAATCACAAGACTCCAACATATTCCGAAGAGGTCACCGCGAGGTTGCTATATCCACAAGGAGCCGTCAATACCGCCGAAATAGGCTCTCAAGACGGCCGAAGAGGCTGGCGTCCAACAGGTCTCCAAGACAACATGCCCTACAAGAAGGCGCCAACATACTTAGCTTCCTGATGGCGTTGCTCCGGCTCCTGCTCTCCTGTCCGAACTGCCCCGCCCCCCTCCTCCTCCTCCTCCTCCTCCTCCTCCTCCTCCTCCTCCTCCTCCTTATCACCCACCCGATCAGACCAGATCATATCACGCGAAACGTGACCAGACAAGGCCACTGCAGCATGAACCAGGCCAGACCAGGCCGTCATGGACCATACAGGGCCAGAGGTGTGAGGACAATTGCAGTAGCCATATACTCATACACAATTGCACGTCGGTCGAAAGAAGTAGGTAAAGGACCATACGGGGCCAGAGGAGGTATGAACCATATACTCATACCTAATTGCACGTCGGTCGAAAAAAAAAAGTAATCATGATCGACCCACGAACCCGGAAAGGACTCTAGAAACGTGGGCGACGGGCAAAACAACCGATTGGGAGACGGGCAATTGCAATGCTGAATGTATCGATCTTGATGTACCGTGCCGAAGGCTGTGCTGTGCTGCGCCGTGCTGGATTGCGATGTGCCACGCCGCGATTGTGCTCTATAGCGTTGTGGATCGAGTCCCCCTTTGCATCCTAGTCCTGACCGAACTGATCTGGATCTCACGTTCGAGCTGCCTGCGCACATAGTAGCTGCCCCAGAGCTAAATTAACAAAGGGACCTGCCAGGAGGACGCGCCGTGGAACGTCCCAAGACACGCGCCAAGCCACATGCCATGGGGACGCACCGCGGGACGTGCCAAAGGGACGCGCTATGGAACGTGCCAATGGACGTGCCAGGGGACGTGCCAAGGGGACTCGCCACGGGACGCGCCACGGAGCGTGCCAAATTGCAATGCTGAATGTATCGATCTTGATGTACAATGCCAAAGGCTGTGCTGCGCTGCGCCGTGCTGGATTGCGATGTGCCATGCCGCGATTGTGCTCTATAGTGTTGTGGATCGAGTCCCCCTTTGCATCCGAGTCCTGACCGAACTGATCTGGATCTTACGCTCGAGCTGCCTGAGCACATAATAGCTGCCCCAGAGCTAAATTAATCAAGGGACCTGCCAGGAGGACGCGCCGTGGAACGTCCCAAAAGACCCGCCAGGCTACGTGCCATGGGGACGCACCGCGGGACGTGCCAAAAGGACGCGCTACGGAACGTGCCAATGGGCGTGCTACGGGACGTGTCAGGGGACGCGCCGCGCGACGTGCCAAAGGGACTCGTCACGGGACGTGCCACGGAACGTGCCAAGCGACGCACCAAGGAGAGGGTCAAGGAACGCATCAAGGAACGTGCCACGGGACGTCCCTGACTCAGGGCCAAGATCCATCGTAAATTACGCTGCGTTCGCGCTCCCATGGCCACGATTTCATGTGAATTACGTTGCGTCCGCTCTCCCTGGGCCACGATCCCTCGTAAACTAAGCTGCGTCCGCGCTCCAAGGGCCCAAGGCCACGTTCCCTACTAAATTACGCCGTGTCCGCCCCCCCAGGGCCATGATCAATTGTAAATTACGCTGCGTCCGCGCTCCCAAGGCCACGATCCACCTCCATCGTAAGTTGCACTGCGTCCGCGCTCCCAAGGCTACGATCCCTAGTACATTACGCTGCGTCCGCTCTCCCTGGGCCATGATCCCTCGTAAACTAAGCTGCGTCCGCGCTCCCAGGGCCGCGCTCCCTCGTGAATTATGCGGTGTCCGCCCCCCCAGGGCCACGTTCCCTAATCAATGACGCTGTGTCCGCCCCCTCAAGGCCACGATCCATCTTAAATTCTGCTGCATCCGCGCTCCCAAGGCCACGATCTGTTGTAAGTTGCGCTGCATCCGCGCTCCCAACGATCCACCTTGCTTGTGCTGCGTCCGCGCTCCCAGGGCTGCGCTCCTTCGCAAATCATGCTGCGTCTGCTCTCCCTGGGCCACGATCCCTTGTAAACTGCGCTGCGTCCACGCTCTCAAGGCTGCGCTCCCTCGTGAATTACTCTGCGTCCTGGGGCGCCCAGGCCGTTCGAGTTCTGCAAAACCAGCGTTGCGCTTGAGACATCCTCGAAGCGTCTCGCTCGAGACATCCTCCAGACCTGTGCACGTGAAAACAAGCATTTCACCTGAGACATCGTCTGAATTCCTCCACAAATTATGCAAAACAAGCGTTCCGCTAGGGACATCCTCAAAATTCAATTCCGCCGGCCCTACGCGACCTCGTTACTTATCGCACAAAAATTCCGCCGGCCCTACGCCCGTCGGTTCTGGAGGAAAACTCCTAAAGAGAACCCTGGACCCACGCCCTTTCCGGGAAAATATGAAGTAGGAAGGCCCATGTAGTATGTTGGATCCAGGCCCTCCCAAATGAGAACAACACACAGCAAAAGCATATCGGAAGGCGCTTGGGGTCTGGAAATACGCCAATGCCTACTCTTAACGACCAGCGTGTAACGCGCTCCTGTTCCTCCTTGCCTACCTTCCTCCTTCTCTTCCTCCTCCATCCCCCTTCTTCCCCTGCCCCTCGTGCTCTGCCTTTCCTCCTGGTGCTACTCTTGGTTCCCCTCATACTTCTCTTCCTTCTCCTCGCCATTCCTCGCTAAATACGTGTAGACCATGTGGTTCCCGTGAAAACCCCGGCACGTAACTAATGAAACGTGCTAGCACAAGGACAGGTCGCTAAGTCCTCGGACTCAGCCTCGGCGAAGGCCGCGGCGCAAGCGTGGACGCCAGAACGCAGGCCATTCCGCTCCGCGAAGTCCTCGCCCGCAGCGCCGGTCGGTCGCGCGACGGGCTACGGGCGAACGAGAGACAGGGCTGTACCTACTCCACATGTCCAGGCTCATATTCACCTCTGAAGTCGTCCCTCTGCCCCTCTGTTCCTCCCACGCCATCCAGTGTTCAGCAGGAGGGCAGCGACGACGAGGCACAGTTCGTGCTCTTCTCCTCTTCTCTCCTCGTGCTGCTCCTCGTGTTCCTCACGTTCTTCCTCCTCCTCCTGCTCCTCCGCCTCCTCTTCCACCACCTCCTCCGCCTCCTCCTCCTCCTCCTCCTGCTCCTCCGTCTCCTCCTCTCCTCCTGCTCCTCCGTCTCATCTTATACCCTCTCCTGAGCAACCACTTCCCCCGTCCTTTTCCTTCAAATCTTATGCCTTTTCCTTACCGTCGTCGTCGTCGTCGTCGTCGTCGTCGTCGTCGTCGTCGTCGTCGTCGTCGTCATCGTCTATTTTCTATTTTCGCCTGCCCTTCTCTCCCCTCCTCCTGCTTCTGCTCCGCTTGTTCCTCCTGCTTCCCCTGCTCCCGTCCCTCCTGCTCCTGATGAAACTCCTGCTCCTCATCCGCCTCTTCCTCCCGTTCTCCGCTTCAATTGTTCGCCATCAATCGGGCGTCGATTCCCCGTGCATTTTTCGATGTCGTGCGATCATTTTTTGCACGATTATCCTAAATGGCCCTCGATGGTCTTTGCCGAGAAACATGATCGACCCACGAATCCGGAAAGGAATCTAGGAATGTAAGGCATGGCAAGACACCTGATTGGGCGACAGGCAAATGCAATGCTGAGAGTATCGATCGTGATGTACCGTGCCGAGGGCTGTGCTGTGCTGCGCCGTGCTGGATTGCGACGTGCCATGTCGCGATTGTGCTCTATAGCGTTGTGGATCGAGTCCTCCTTTGCATCCGAATCATGACCGAACTGATCTGGATCTTAAGCTCGAACTGCCTGAGCTCAGGGTAACTGCCCCAGAGCTAATTGACCAGGGGACATGCCAGGAGGACGCGCCGCGGAACGTCCCAAGGGACGCGCCAAACGACGTGCCAGGCGACGTGCCAGGGGGACGCACCGCGGGACGTGCCAAGGGGACGCGCTACGGAACGTGCCAATGGACGTGCCACGGGACGTGTCAGGGGACGTACCGCGCGACGTGCCAAGGGGACTCGCCACGGGACGCGCCACGGAACGTGCCAAGGAACGTGCCAGGTCGCAATGCTGAGTGTATCGATCGTGATGCACCGTGCCGAGGGCTGTGCTGTGCTGCGCCGTGCTGAACTGCGATGTGCTATGCCGCGATTGTGCTCTATAGCGTTGTGGATCGAGTGCTGGGGACAAACGTTTCGCTCGAGACATCCTGCCCAAATCCTCATGCTAGACATCCGCCTGGGCGACCTGGACACGTGAAAACAAGCGTTTGGCTCAACACATCCTCAACACATCCTTATGCTAGACATTCGCCTGGGCGAACTGGACACGTGGAAACAAGTGATTCGATCGAAACATCCTTTACACATCTTCATGTTAAACGTCCACCTGGGTGACCTGTGCACGTGAAAACAAACGTTTCGCTCGAGACGTTCTCAACATCCTTATGTTCGACATCCGCCTGGGCGACCTGGACACGTGAAAACAAGCGTTTCGCTCGAGACGTTCTCAACACCCCCTCGTGCTAGACATCCGCCTGGGCGACATGGGCACGTCAAACCAAGCGTCTCGCTCGACGCATCGTCAACACATCCTCATACTAGGCATCCGCCTGGGCGACCTGGACACGTGAAAACAAACATCTCGCTCGACACATCCTCAACGCATTCTCACGCTAGATATCTGCCTGGACGACCTGTAAGCGTGAAAACAAATGTCTCGCTCGAAACATCCTTAACACATCCTCATGCTAGACATCCACCGGGGCAGCCTGAAAACGTGAAACCAAGCGTCTCGCTCGAGACATCCTCAAGATCCGGGCACGTGAAAACAAGCATTTCACCTGAGACATCCTTTGAATTCTGGTCCCCAGCAGAGCAACCCGAATGTTCAGCAAATGGTACAATGCTCATTGACCGCCGAGAGGGTCTGTTATCCAAGAGCCATGCAGCCATCTCGCCCGTCAGTGCTGGCTGGAAAGCCGATGCCAGCGGGGTGATCTTGCACTTCGCATGCTTGAGTGCGAGGCCCGCAGCCGCCTCTACCGCGCGGAAGACTCGCCCAAGGCGGGCCAAGAGGCGCCTGTCCTGTGGCACCGTGCCCGCGTCGTCAGCGCAGATGCCGAGCGCCGAAAGGTCGAAGCGGTCAATGATCTACTCCATGTGGGCCACGAACGGGTTCATGGCCACTGCCCAAAAATGCCTCGACAGAGGGCAACCCTGCGCGATGCCCAGGAGAACGTGCAAGATGTGCCGGGCAGCACCCTCCATCACGACGAAGGCTTGCAGCATTCAGCGCATGCTGATGTTTAGGGCGAAGAGGCCGCCCTCGATCCCCGATCAAAGAAAGAGCCGCAGCAAGGAAAACGACAGACAACGGGGGAAAGGGATTGCCGAAGCCAAACAGTACCATGATCCGGCAGCGCTGTTCGACCCGCTCCTGGAAACCGACGAGGCGCGCCATCGTGTCCAGGAGAAGCACAAAGTCTAAGAAACACCTGCCTTGTGGAAACCCACGCTGCGACTTTGGAGAGAGCTGCGAGAGGAGATCCCTGCTCTTGCGGTTGACCCCATAAGCGATGCTCTTGGCGTCGATGTTCTTGAGCGCCAGTGGACGAATCGACGAAGCAACCCTCGTGGCACCCCCCAGAAGATCGGCCTCTTCGGAACCCGTGGGGGGAAGGCCATCCAGTGGTCATTGAAGTCGGAAGGCGGCGGGGAACCCGTGGCCAACTCATGGCTGACCGAGGCGAGGGCGCCAAGCGCGCGGACGAGCGCGCCGGGCCTCGTGGGGTAAGCCGTCAGGCCCAAGGGCCGACGGGCGAGAGTGAACGGCCACGCAGAGAAGATCTCGGCCATCGGGGAGAGGAGCGTCTTCGGGATGAGTTCAGGGTGCTCGTCCAAGTGGCGCTCGATGAACTCGCAGCGCGGGAGGACATATTGAAATGCCGATGGCCAACGCTTCTTCAGCTCGTGCGTGACGTCCTTGGTGTTAGAGACAACCCGAGGTTGACCGTCGGCGTCCTCGGGTAGACGCAATCTACGGGGCTTCAGGGCCCGACCGCTCGGCGCCCGCATCGCTGCGCGTCTCCCCAGAGCACGGCGCGTTGCATTGATGCAGCGGAACGGCTTGCCATCGGGCGGAGCCTGCCTTTCTCTATGAGCGAGCGCAGCAAACCTGCGCTCGGAGTGCTCATTCTGGACGGCAGCGAACTGGGCTCGAAGCTCGCCGGGTCCTCCAGGCTCACCGTGGACGAGGTGGCGTGCACATGTTGCCCAGCGAGTTCACTCGAGGCGCACAGCTTGCTAGTCAGTGGGATGTCGTCGCGCCAGGCCGCTCTGGCCATGCGCCGGTGTAAGATGAGCGTGGTGTCATTGTCATGGTCAGCACGCCGAAAGAGTCGGTTGCGGACGCAGCGAGCGGCCTCCTTCATGAATCTCCTGTGCTCAGTTCTTCTAGCGTAGGGAGACAATCGCGCCCGTTGTGCGTGACTCGCAGGCATGTCGTGCTGCTCGGCAAAGTCAGGGGCCCGAGAAATATGCGGAGGTGTAGGTTGACTACCTGGATCCAGGGGAGGGCGAACGTTGATTGCGATGGTCAGCGGGCCGTGGTCGCTGAGGCCTTGCGAGTGGAGCTTCTCAGGGAAGTCCTTGGTCGTCGCCGTGATGTGCAATTGCAGGGCGGCCCAGCTTGGCGCAGCCAGGAATGCGCGATCGATCTGAGTGAGCTTCGGGGGCGCGTCCTCCTGCTGCGTGTAGTGAGTGGCTCGTTATCTAGCTCCAGCATCGGGTCGAGCTGCGGCTGCCGGCGTGCTTCCATGGGCCTCGGGGCATGGAGAGAGACGAGGCCTCTGTTGATCTCTGATTGACGAAGGAGGAGCGGCGCAGCAGCGCAGATATTTGAATCTCCCATCGTGAGGACAGTGACTGTCTGGGGCGCACTCTCTGCCATATGAAGGTCTGCGTGCAGGCGGGCAGCGATGAAGTCCATGTGCAAGCTGCCGAGCAAAGTTGTGGATGTTGTATAAGACGATGGGAGGTGTGGCTCCAGAGGAGACTCCAGAGATGCGAAACCGTTGGGCGCGTCCCTGAACCAGTGCTTCACGGCGGTGCCTGACTTTATCCGACTTCGCGAAAGCGCCAAGGATGATGATGACCTCGCCGCCCGTGTTGCGCTTCTCGCAGAGAGTGGAGAACGTGGTGTAAGGACGAGAAAGGCGGTGAAGATCTTGATCCAATTCGATCTCAGTGCCATGCACCTCGAAAAAACATGCCCGTGTTATGGCGGAGGTGACTGTCTAGATCATTGATCTTCGGTTCGCGAGTGTCCAAATTGTGATGAAGAAGGGCGCTGGCGTTCCACGTGCCGTGGGGGATCTGAAACTGGTCGTCATTGGGGGCCCTCCGCGGGGCGAAGCGACTGCTTAATACTCCACTGCGTGGCATCCGTGGCGTCAAAGGCTTCTCCGAAGGCTCGCTTGATCTCATCCTTGTCCAGGCCGGACTTAGTAACGGCACGGTGGTTCCAAACAGGAGATGATGGTTCTTCCGCCGTGCCAGCCGCCGAAACTTTGACCGTGGGCGTGTTGCCGTCGCTGATGATGCCCGCGTATCTGTTTGCTCTCCGTTACCCTGGTGTACCTGATGCCTTGACCAATTCAAGCGACTTTCTGGTCTGAATTTCTCTCCGACTCGTTTGAGGTGACTTGTCGAGCCCGATGAAGATGTCCACATTGCGTGGGGACTGCGCGAGCTTGGAACTTCCTCCGCTACCCATCTTGTCTGAGATGACGGAAAGCCTTGGCGACGCGCTTGGCAGCGAGGCCCGCGACCCCAGCCAGCCTGG